CTCGTTCCTTGAAATCACTTCCAGAGTCACCTGCTTGAAAGAAATGAGAGAAAAATATGGAAGGCAAGAAAGAAACCACTACCAAAAAATAAGTTGCATGGAAGAAAGATCTGAAATGTGTGGCTTAGGCTTTGACACTGGGCTGCAGACAGAACAGCGGTGAGCACTGGTGACGGGAAATCAGAAAAATGGTCACCAATGTGGCGTGGTGATAAAACTGCCACAGCTGTCACCCGAGGTAATGTGAGCGACAGTTCAAGAAACAGGAAGGAATATAGCAGGGCCAGGTCTTGTGTTAGAACATAGACCTGTTTAAACTGCTCCAGCCTCTCCAACTAATCAATGATCAAACCTAGAGCTTTGCCAGAATGACATGAGTATAACATGAGTATAACATAAATTGTCCTAAGAGGATGTGGCTTTAAAGATCTTTGGAAAATATCCAGAGCGTTCACCTGACAGACACTCTCAGCTAAACAAGAGAGCACCCGGAATCTTGGGACTCATCCTGGACCAGCCTGGCTGCAGGGCCAAGCTCCTGACAGAACCATGCCTGGGTTTTAGTACAGGATGGAGACTGGAATGAGATTCATAGAAGCCCAGGCAATGTTCAATGAAGGTTTATAAGCGTAAGTCCTACCTCTTGGCTATAAAGGAATGAGGCTTTTCAAAAAATAGAAAAGTATATTGGCCCAAACTTCCTGCTATCTTGTATTTCTTAATAACTGAATTTCCTTGTGAAAGATTTCAGATGAATTCTTTTCTTCTCCAGATTAATCAATGAAATGTTTAAAATATGGAAGCTAAAATTTCCAACGAATTTATTTTTTGAAAGTCACTATTCATACTGAAGTGATTAACAAAAAGAGTCCCTCTGCCCTGGAGGAGATTTCAGAAAGGAGAGTCATAAACAAATACCTGCATGAGTGCAGAAATGGATAAATTCGCCTCCAGAGCACAAAAGCATTTAGTGTGCCCAAGCCAGGCAGTGTTTGGTCGGGAATGGGGAAGAAAGTCCAGGTATATCATATCAAGGAAGATTAAAGAGTGGCATTGCAGTTTATGGGATGATGAACGAATAAATGAAAGATTGGGGAATGGAAACTAAAGTTCTGAGACTGTCACATCTGTATGTGAAGACAGCCATGACAGCACTCCACAGAGTATATTATGAATGAGGAAGTTGATTTACTAGAAAAGACTTTCTGGATCTCTAAGTATCTAGCTAACTAGATAGTTACTGTCATTCCATTTGCGGGTCCCTTCTGTAGTTCACCGTCTAGGGTGATTATACCCTGGAGAGTTGGTGCGTGCAAATAATACTTCTTAATTCATTTCTTGCCCCCTTCCCCTCCCCCTTAGTCTCTTGGCCACTTTCCACATGCAAAAGTTCTAACTCCCTATTTCTCATTGTCGTTTCTTCTACTCCTTGAGAACATCCTGTATGGCAGGCACTAAGGTAACCACTGACCATACCAGCCTCAGTAAATAAAGCCTTTCTGTACAAAGCCTAGTATAGAAAATAAAAACTGCAATTATACCTCCTAGCCATAACACCAGTGATTATTATACATGATCAAAATTGTGAGATCCATAGAGGTTTCCAAGGGGACTCAGCCTGGGAGGTGTGGGGGTGGCACGCACAAGACTGCAGGCGCAGGGGATAACATTCAAAGCAGAAGGGGCTTAAGCTTCATTCACCTATGCCACGCTAGCCAACTCCCAGGTGCCCACAAGGAACAGAGAATGACGAGTTTGTAATAAGGTCATATGAAAAAGCTTCAAATATACTCCCTATATTGGGCATTTATCTTTGAGCACTGGGACACAATAGCAGGACTTTAGATATGGGACTGCATCTCACCAAATCTGTGGCCTGGAATTATTATGGAGGCAGCCCTGTGTTGGATTGGATGGAGGAGGCAAAGCTGAAGGCAAAAGATTAAAGCTGATCCAATGCCACAGGCCTATAACTTCAGGAGACTGAAGCAGGAGAATCACCTCACATTTGCGACCATACCAGGCTGCAGAGCAAGTTCGCGGCCAGTCTGAACTCCATAGCAAGACCTTGGCTCAAAACACACACACACACACACACACACACACACACACACACGCATGCACGCACGCACGCACATGCACCAATGCATTAATCCTTTGAAGCAGTCCTAGGCAAAAAAAAAAAAAAAAGTAAAACTACACTATGGACCGAGACGTGACAATTTCCCCAAATCACGATCTAAAAGGAAACGAGAGGCAAAGGTGTTACTGTCGTGCTTTGGCGGGAAGCGCTGGCCCGAAGAGCAGTTCAAACCTGCGACCCCACCGCTCTGCTCTTAGAATGCGCCCAGCACCAACATCAGAGCGCTGCCCCATCTCCCAAGCGAAGGCCAAAGAGGAGCTCAACCACGGACGTCTCGTCTCGGTGCTGCGACTCTCCGTTCTGTGTCACTTCACACTCCCAGGATCTGGTGTGACAGCAGTAGCTACAGGAATAAGGCACGGCGCACACGCTCACATTGATCTATTTGTACTGACAAAAGCAGTGTCTCTGGGAGAAAGACCAAGTCCGAGTAGGGTTCTAGAGGCTCCACAAACACGGGCTTGCGTTTGCGCACTTACGCAGGGTCAACGCCCCGTGCTCGGACTGGGGCTCGCCTGCAGCGACGTGCTACTGGCACGGATGTCGCGGTCCCGTCCAGATGTACTCAGGGGTTGTAGCCTCTTTCCTTGTTCGTTATGTCTTTGCTTATCCCATCATTTAGGAGGCCTCCGGCTGCCTCACAAGCCCCGTTCTAACACCCGTCCTGGCCTTTCTAGATGATAATATTAAATGTCAATTTTCTACCACAGCTGAGCAGATTCCTGTGTGCGTGCGCATGCGTTCCCGCGACAGTTACGCAATGCTGCGGTCGTCGCAACGAGGCTCAACTCCACTCAGGCTCCATGACGACTTAGGCAGCCAGCTGTCGCTTAGGCGACCTGCTTTCCTCTCCTGCCCTTGCACTTGTTATTCTGGTTTGCTTATGTCTACTCATTTCAAATACACCATAAAATTTGTGAACGTTAACTTTTTAACTGACATAAAATTTATAAGCATTTATTATGCACAACATGATATTGAGAACTATATGTACACTGTGGAATGACTCAGTCTAGCTAATCAACATAATCGTTATCTCATATAGTTATTTTTGGGGTGAGTACACTGTACATCCACTCAGCATTTTTCATGAATATAAAACTTCACCAAGCGAATCGCTGTGCTGAGTTTTACTCTGTCATGATCATTTACAGGGTCCCTTCTTGAGGAGGAGAAAAGAGGTAACAGATTTCACCAAAACCTACCATAAATCAAGATGACACTGTGACAAAATCGACATAGGGCCGGAAGCACACCAAAAAGTGTGGATTCATTTCTATCGTTCTGACTTGTATGACCGAGTAGAATGATCATAAAAAGTAAGCTGTTGAGTTTTAAAAGAAGTATTGAATTTTAGAATTGTGCATGGCATGTAAAGTGGAAATGCCTAATAGATCTGTTGAGTATACTGGAAGATAATTGAGGAGCTCTTGATTCAATCTGAATTGTCAAATCGGAATGTTAATAACAACCTCCCTGAGAGTCTTTAGAGGTTAAGCAAAAGGAACAGACAAGAGCAAAAGGAAATATCTCCATGACAGAATTAACAGGCACATTAACAAATACAAGCAGAAAGCCAGAAGACACAGCTCAACAGCTTAAAGTGCCTGCTCAGGCAGATGCAGAGGCTGGGAGTTTGATCCCCAGGCCTGCCATGCCAGCCCCGCCCCCAGGGTCCACTGAAACGATTGAGACTGGGCCTGGTGGCGCATGCCTGTAATCCCAGCTCTTGGGAAGTTGTGAACAGGCGGATCACTACGAGTCCGATCTAGTAGTGAGACTCTGAACACCCTGTAGACCCTATCCTAAATAAAAAAGAAAAAAAGAAA